TAAAAAGTCTTTAAACAAATGAAAATGGAAACCCAACATACCAAAACCTATGGGATATGGCAAAAGCAATTCTAAGAGGGAAGTTCATAGCAGTAAACACCTGTGTTAAGAAAAATGCAAGATCTCAAATCGACAATCTAACTTTACAGCTGAAGGAATTAGAAAAAGAGGAAAAATCTAATCCCAAAGTTAACAGAAGGAAGGAAATAAGAATTAGAGTAGAAATAAATGAAATAGGGACTAGAAAGACATTAGAAAAGTCAGTGAAATGTGGAATAGGTTTTTTTAAAAGGTAGACAAAATTGACAAACCTTTAGCTAACCTAACCAAGAAAAAAAGAGAGGACTCAAACAAAATTATAAACGAAAAAGGAGACATTACAACTGAAACCAGAGAAATACAAAGGATCGTAAGAGACTTCTATGAACAATTATACACCAACAAATTAGATAATCTAGAAGAAATGGATACATTCCTAGAAACGTACAACCTACCAAGACTGAATCATGAAGAAACAAACTCTGAACAGACCAATAACTACTAAGGAAATTGAATCAGTTTTCAAAAACCTCCCAATAAAGAAAAGCCTAGGACCAGATGGTTTCACTGCTGAATTCTACCAAACATTTAAAGGATAATTACTACCAATTCTTTTCAAGCCCTTCCAAAAAACTGAAGAGGAGGAAACACTCCAAAACTCATTTTATGAGACCAGCATTACCCTGATGCCAAAGCCAGAAAAGGACACTACAAGAAAAGAAAGCTACAGGCCAACATCCCTGATTTATCTAGATACAAAAATTCTTAACAAAATATTAGCAAACTGAATTCGGCAGCTCATCAAAAGGATCATGCATCATGATCAAGTGAGATTTATCCCTAGGATGCAAGGATGGTTCAACATGTGCAAATCAATAAATGTGATACACCACGTTAATAGAATGAAGGATAAAAATCATATGATCCTCTCAGTAGATGCAGAATAAATGTTTGACAAAATTCAACACCCTTTCATGATAAAAGCCTTTGACAAATTGGGTGTAAAAGCATCATACCTCAGCATAATAAAGACCATATATGACACACTCATAGCTACCATCATATTTAATGATGAAAAGCTTTCAGCTTTTTCTCTAAAATCAGAAACAAGACAAGAGTGCCCACTCTTACCATTCCTATCCAGCAAAGTACTGGAAGTCATAGGTAGAGCAATTAGGCAAGAACAAGAAATGAAAGGCATACAAATAGGAAAGAAAAAAGCAAAACTGTCTCTGTTTGCAGATGACATGATCTTATGTATAGAAGTCCCTAAAGACTCCACCAAAAAACTGTCAGAACTAAGAAATGAATTCAAGAAAGTTGTAAGATAGAAAATCAACATACAGAAATCAGTTGCATTGCTATACACTGACAACAAACTATCTAAAAAAAAAAAAAATCCCATTTACAAATAGAATCAAAAACAATAAATGCTTAGGAATAAATTTAACCAAAGGAGGTGAAAGATCTGTACATTAAAAGCTGTAAGACACTGATGAAAGAAATTGAAGAAGACAGTTGATGAAATAAATGGAAAGATACAAATAGCAAAGCAATCTTGAGAAAGAAGAGCAAGACTGGAGCATTACACTTCCTGATTTCAAGCTATACCACAAAGCTATAGTAATCAAACAGTACAACACTGTTATAAAAATAGACATATAGACCAACAGAACAGAATTGAGAGCCCAGAAGTAAACCCAAGCATCTGTGGGCAACTAATATTTGACAAGGGAGCCAAGAATAATCAATGGGGAAAGGATAGTCTTTTCAATAAACAGTGTTGGGAAAACTGGATATGTACATGCAAAAGAATGAAATTGAGCCCCTGTCTTACACTACTCACAAAAATTAACTTGAAATGGATTAGACTTAAATATAAGACTTGAACCATAAAACTCCTAGAAGGAAAAATCGGTAAAAAAACTCCTTGAGGGGCCGGCCTGGTAGCATAGTGTTTAAGTTCACACACTCTGCTTCAGCAGCCTGGGGTTCACAGGTTTATATCCCAGGCACAGACCTATGCACAGTTCTTCAAGCCATGCTGTGGCGGCATTCCTACAAAATAGAGGAAGATTCCCACAGATGTTAGCTCAGGAACAATCTTCCTCAAGCAAAAAGAGGAAGATTGGCAAAGGAAGATTGGCAACAGATGTTTGCTCAGGGCCAATCTTCCTCACCCAAAAACAAAACAAAACAAACAAACAAAAAGCTCCTTGACATTGGTATTGGCAACAATTTTTTAGATATGATACTAAAACCACAAGCAACAAGAGCCAAAATTAGTAAGTGAGACTACATCAAACTAAAACACTTTTGCACAGCAAAAGAAAAAATCAACAAACTGAAGAGGCATTTTCTTCCTTGAGATGGAAGAAAATATTTGCAAACCATATATCAGATAAGAGGTTAACATCCAAAATATTGGACAGGAAGGAACTCATACAACTCAATAGCAAGAATACTAACACAGAACATGCATCGCCTAATAATGGGGAAATGTTCTAAGAAATGTGTCATTAGGTGATTTTGTCATTGTGCAAACATCATAGAGTGCACTTATACAAGCCTGGATGGTATAGCCTACTACACACCTAGGTTACATGGTACTAATCTCTTGCGACCACTGTCATATGTGTGGTCCATCGTTGACCAAAACGTCGTTATGCAGCACAACTGTAATTTGATTAAAAAATGTGAAGACCTGAATAGAAATTTTCCCGAAGAAGACATACAAGTGGGCAACAGATACATGAAAAGATGTTCAACATCGCTAATCATCAGGGAAATGCAAATCAAAACCACAATGAGAGATTACCTCACACCTGTTAGAATGGCTGTTGTCACAAAGACAAAATATAAGTGTTGGCAAGAATATGGAAAAAAGGGAACGCTTGTGCACTGTTGGTGGGAATGTAAATTGGTACGGCTACTATAGAAAACAGTATGGAGGATTCTCGAAAACTTAAAAGTAGAACTACCATGTGATCCAGCTACCCTAGTTCTGGGTATATATCCAAAGGAAATGAAATCACTATCTCAAACAGATATCTCCCCCCAATGTTCATTGCAGCACTATTCACAATAATCAGAACATAGAAACAACCTGTCTCCACTGATGGATGAGTGGATAAAGAAAAAGAGATTGTATATATATATACACATATATATTTACACACATACATATACATAACAGAATATTACTTAGCCATAAAAAAGAAGGAAATCCTACCATTTGCAACAACATGGATGGACCTGAAAGATATTATGCTAAGTAAAACAAGTCAGACAGAGAAAGACAAATACTGTATAATCTCACTTAAATGTGGCATCTAAAAAAAGCCGAGCTCATAGAAACAGAGAGTGAAATGTTGGTTGCCAAGGGCTGAGGGTGGACAGTTAGAAATGGGGAGATGTGGGTCAAAGGGTACTAACTTCCCGTTACAAGGTGAATAATTTCTGGGGATCCGGTATACAGCATGGTGACTGTAGTTAACAATACTGTATTATATACTTGAAAGTTACTGAGAGGCTAAATCTTACATGTTCTCACTACAAAAATATAGTTATGTGAGGTGATGGATATGCTAACTAACCTTATCATGGGTAATCCTTTCACAATATGTACATGTTTCAAAGCAGCACATTGTACACCTTAAACTTACACAGTGTTATATATCAACGATATCTCAATAAAGCAGGGCAAATGTTTTTTAAAATTGAAACTTAGATGATAGTAGTTATACTTTAAGTGTTGGTTGACTAATAAAATAAAAGATAAGTATGCACATTTTATAATCCCAATAGCATCTATGTTCCTTTTAGAATAGCGTGTTCAGATATAGTGTGAGAGAGAGGCTTTTCATTTACTGGCTCCGTAGGGAATGTTGATACCATGTGAATTTTCTGGTAGTAATTCTGTATGAATTCTGGACCTCTCAGGGGTTTACGGCCTACAAATTGGAAACTCCAGCTCTGACACTCTATTTTTCATTTGAACTCCCATAGCCATCTCATTGTTGAGTAAATAATATTCTTTCTATTTTTATAGTATTATTTTACCTGACTAGAAAGCTTTTGAATTTTACAAGTAAATCTTTCCCAATAAAAATTACACATTTATGCCAAATTCTGCAAATCCTAGCTATATGTATATCCTACTTTTTACCTTAGAGAGATGCCTGAAATATTAGTTGTATATAAACTAAATCGTCTATCCAAAGCCATGAGAGAACATGGTGTTTTAAAAGAGCCTGGTCAGGGGGCCGGCCCCGGGCCTGAGGGGTTAAAGTTCCCTGCACTCTGCTTCAGCAGCCCGGGGCTCACAGGTTCCAATCCTGGGTGCGGTCCTATTTCACTCATCAGCCGTGCTGTGGAGGAATCCCACATGCAAAATAAAGGAAGATGGGCACAGATGTTAGCTCAGTGCTAATCTTCCTCAAGCAAAAAAGAGGAGGATTGGCAGCAGATGTTAGCTCAGGGTGAATCTCCTCACACAAAAAAAAGAGCGTAGTAAATTGACAGAACCCTTTAGTAACAGGAAGAAGCACATTTTAATTCATCTTTTCTGTAAACATGGATTTTTACACCTTGGGTATGCTTTAAATGAAACACACACTTGTAGATAGTTTTGTGTATCTATATGCCTCCTTTAATTGAGGATTATAGGATTTTTTTTTGCCAGCCATTCCCACTGGCAAGTGGCACATCCCCATGAGAGTCTGAGGTCTCGTGAGAAGCAGCAGACTCAAGCCCAGGGGTTTCCACCAGTTTGTAGTGGGCTGCCCTTTATTCTCTGTCACTCTGTCCCAGTTATGTGTCCATCATTTAGAAAGACCATGTGGGTGAGTTTTTGGATCGAAATCTTGTGCTCTCTTGGCCTGTAAAGTAAACCAGTATAAATAAGTCAGCCCAGTTCAAGTCCTGAGAAGCACCAGTCCACACTGTTTTTCTCCTTTTAGGCCTGCATGCTTGTTTTTCAACCAGATCTTGATATCGCCCTCCCTGACCTCGCCGAGAAGAGTGAAGTGGTTATTTGTCTCGATTGCTCCAATTCGATGGAGAGTGTGCCATTTTTGCAGGCCAAGCAAATTGCCTTATATGCACTGTCCTTGGTGGGTAAGAAGCAGAAGATAAACATCGTCAAGTTTGGCACAGGTGAGTGCTCCAGTCTAATGTGTCCTTCTTCTTCAATAGTAACACACTCAGGAGTAGAGCTGATGGCTCTTGGGACCCGTGACCTCATCTGTGGAGCAGGAGGTAGCATAGCATGGAGTTCCAGGACAAGAAACCTGGAGCCAGATCCCCAGGTTCAGATTCCAACTCGACCACTTACTAGCTCTAAGTGTTGCTTTGCACAAGTTACTTCAATTTTTCATGCCTCAGTTTCCTCATCCATAAGATGAGGGTAATAGCCCCTATCTCATAGTCTTGTTGTGAGGATTGAACTAATGTATGTAAAGGATTTAAAACAGTGCCTATTCCATAGTAAGTGCTATATAAATATTACTATTTTTATTACCAGCCCTGGTGGTTTAGTGGTTGAGATCCAGCGCTGTCACCATCGCAAGCCCAGGTTCGTTTCCTGGTGAGGAAACCACACCACCTGTCTGTCAGTTGTCACACTGTGACGTCTGCCTGCTGCTGTGATGCTGAAAACTCTGCCACCGGTATTTCAAATACCAGCAGGGTCACCCATGTTGGACAGGTTTCAGCAGAGCTTCCAGACTAGGCAGACTAGGAAGAAGGACCTGGCCTCCTACTTTCAAAAAAATTGTCATTGAAAACCCAATGAATGGCAGTGGAGCACAACAAAAAAGAACAGACCAGGTTCCGCTCTGTTGTACACAGGGTCACTAGGAGCTGGAATCAACTCCGGCACTAACAACAAATGTTATTAGCAGCTGACCCAGATGCAAGCCTCTTGTTCTGATGAGTATGAGGGTCCCAAGGATATGGGCAGATCATTTGAAATCAGCACAGTAGTAGAAAATCTGTAAGGAATGGTCTCTGGAGGCATCAGATTTGCCTATTAGAAGAAAGGGAATGCCATTCTCCAGGTGGGGCCCGGGGATCTCAGCCACCAGAAGAAGGCACGTCAGGGATGAGAGCAGCAGAGTGGAGTGAGGGGGCAAGCATGTCCTATTGCTTCTTGTCTTCTATGCCATTCAGCAGAAGGCTTATCCCTTTTACAAAGGAGCCAGGGTCTGCTACTGCTGGGGGAAGAGGTCACATAAGCCTGGGGCGTACAAAGGACACAGAAGGTGCATGTGCCGGCTGCCTGTGCGATTGCTACACCCACATCTTATTTAGCATAAGCAATCTGCTACAGAACAGAAGGCCAGAACTTAATTTTACTCAGAACATTTTGTACAGTAAAGTGTGTAGTTTGAATGCACTAGTATTTATTACTTAAAGGAATACTGTGGTGAATTTTTATGTTAAAATTATCAAACATTATTGCTTGTTAGTGGTCCATAAAGTGACTATGTAATGGCAACAGCTCATGCCAGTCATATTCTGCAGGTTATCAGGAGTTATTTTCATATCCCAAGCACGTCACAAGCAACAGTATGCCAGCAGAGTTCATTATGGTGAGTAAAAGAAGCTTCCTTCATCTCCTGTGCCTTTTTCTATCAAGTTTTAGTGGTACCGTCCAAGACTTACTCCCTCCGAGACCACCATCAGGACTCCCCTACTCGTTCAGTTTTATTTTGGTGGGCTCTTTTATTTCACTAATAAAAGCAATATGAAGTCATTAAAGAAAAATTGGAAATTAAAAAGGCTGGAAAGAAAAAAATTACCCACAGCTCCACCACCCAAATATAACTAGCATTAGCAGTTTCAGAATGTTTTCTTCCGTCCCCTTTTTTTCTTTTTCTTAAAATGGAGCAAGCTGAGAGAGACCAGTTGCCACCTCAGTCCGGGATGACAAACCTAGGAGTTTGATGTAATAGTTCTTTGAAAACCATAAAAAATCAAATAAGCCCAGTGATAATATTATAGTTACTGTGTGACATGAAGTCAACTAAAAGGATATAAGCATAATTGTTTCACCAATGTATAATTAGGAAAAAATATCTTTTCAATGATGATATCTCTAAACCCACATTAAGAGATGTGCTTTAGTAAGTGATTACAGTAAATTATTAATATACTCGAACAGGAGTAAGTAATCTTTTGCTTCGTTTCCTCCAGTCTGCTTCACCTACCATGGGAAATACAGACTTCTGGAAGACACTCCGATATTTAAATTTACTGTACCCTTCTCAAGGCTTACGGAACATTCTCCTGATATCTGATGGGCACCTCCAGAATGAGAGCCTGACATTGCAGCTTGTGAGAAGAAACGTCCAGCACACCAGGCTCTTCTCCTGTGGTGTTGGGTAAGTAGGTCGGAGGTCTAGTCACACCATGAAAACCACAGGGAAAACGCAGCCTGCGGGTAGGTGTTTTGGCGGCCTGCACAGGATTTTTGGAAGTTCTGAACTTGACTCTACTATATAGAAACTGTCAAGCATAGAGGTGTAGCGCTCTCAGCTCGGGCCAGACTGCCTGGGGCTCAGACTTGAGTCAGCCACTCAGCTGTGACCGTCACCATTTTGCTTATCCTCTTGTCTGTAAAATGAAGATGATAATGAAAATGTAGGTTTAAGAGGCTTGCTCTGAGGATTAAATGAGCTCATATATAGAAAGCACTGAGAATAGAGCTGAATCAATGTTACATATTGTTATTTTGCATAAAAATCCAAATTTCCAGCCTATCCTGAGAGGCCTGAAGATGTGGCACTGCCAGACACGTCCCCTCCTGTGGCTGTTTCTGACTGGGGCTGAGGAGTGCCTGCTGCTGGGGGCGGCCCCCACCCAGGTGCTTTGCTCCCTCACAACACCTTTCTGGTTGCTGTGAGCATTTTCAAACCTTGTAATGTACACAGAATCTTTCTCTAGGGAGGCTAAGACCCCATGATTGTTGGAATTAACCCCTCCCCAATTATAGTTAGCTTTTTTGGATTGAACTGAGGTATATGGTGTAGATATAAGGAAAACACAGAACAAAGGGGGCCAGACCCATGTTTGCACAGAGCATGCCCCACCCCCTCGCCTCCCCATCCCAGTGGTGATCACCAGGCCTTCCTGTTCCGAGGCAGCACAGAGAGCAAGACCCTCCCCTCAACATGTTTACAGGGGGTGGGGTGTTGGTGTTCCCTGGGGCTGCTGTGCTGTCCTGGGCTGGGAGCCCCCTAAAGCCTCAGTAGGAGCTCCAGGAGCTGGTACCCGTGACCCCCTGTGATGGCCCTCTGTGCTGTACCTAGGCCAGACCTTCCTGCCCAGAGAGCGCTTTTCTTCTCTCTGCCCTCTTCAGTCACAGATCCTAGGCTCATTCTCTGTAATCTGAGGCCTAACAGGACATCACAGACCAACTAGGAAATTTATCCAACCCAAAGCAGACTCCCCCAGGAGTTGTTCCTAACAGGACTTCACCTGAGAACTCCTACCTGCAGACACGGGGTGGTCGGCCCTAACCTGCCGCAGGAATGTGTCCCCTCCCTACCTGAGTCAGGGCCCTATTCCATCTTCCTGGTCACATCACTACCTCCCTGCTCCCTCCACCGCGTCGGACGTGCCGTGCAGGATCAGGCTCAGACACCTCCGCACAGAAGGCATGTCCCCTGTTGATTCCTTCTGTGCTGAGGGCATATCATGGGACAGACACTGCTCGGCGCTAGACCGCAGCTCTGTGTGTGAGGAGACGGACAGCAAACCGTCCAGTAAGCTCAAAGGGGAGATGGGTTTTCCTAAGCGCCAGGAAGGAAAAAATGGGGGTTCTGTGATGGGGGTGACTGGGGTGGGTGGGCACAAGCCTCCTTTGGGTGGTGACTTGCTTTGACACGACCCAGCCTGAGGGAGCTAGGATTGTTACTGATGATCTGTCAAGTTTTTAAGATCTTTCTAAATGTTTCTCTTTTACACCTAAGTACTCGTTTGTGTTCACAAACTCTAGCAAGATGTTGTGAGTTCTCCAAGAGTAGTGACTGCTCATCCTGCCTCTTGTAACAAGCTGTCCTCTGAGGCGCACACAGGAGCACAAAAAGGTTTCCAAGCAGCCTCGCTAGCTGACGAACTCGATACAAACAAGTAAACTTGATTTGAGGATTTTCTAATCAGTGCTGTAATCACTGCCAATTAATTTTGACAACTAAAGACACATCCGGTCTTTATCAATAGGCTAAAGAATGTTTCAGAAATAACTTTTTTAAGCTCTTTTTCTGAAAATTAATTGATCATTTCTTTAATATTTTAGGGGGAACCTCTCTAAGAAAGGCGTTCTTGAAAGTTATAGAATTATTATTGAGAGAAATTTAATAGGACGTTGTCATTCAATATCACAGATGATCTTCGCTAGAATGAGAGTCACTTCTTTATACCTTTTGCTATCGAGGTGTGCATCACATGTTAACTTAGACTGCCGTTTCTTGGCCTTTGGGGTCAGATCGGGTGCCCTGGACGCTCACTGAAAGCAGGCTGATACCCGTCAGCCTTCTGACACCTTTTGGGGTTTTCAGAATCATCTCCTGCTTCCTTTGGTAAAGCAGAAGTCAAGAATTTCTGCTTTTTTCTATTGTGAAAGAGAAGTAAGTCCTCTGATATGTGGGAGCTTAAATTACCCAGCTCTTCAAATGTTTGATACTCTGTCATGAGTTTTATTTCTTTACCCTCAGCTACTTCTGTAAATTCTTCTTCATGTCATGTCTCTTTTATTGAGTTTCATGCTGTGTCACCATTGTTAACTAATGTACTTCAAAAATGTTGCCAAAAGTTTTTGAAAATTAAAATTTGTGAAATGTGATCAGTTCTACAGCGAATCATCATATCTTAAGGATTTTGTCCCAGTGTGGTGCTGGAGTATTTGAATATTTAAACTCAAAATCCAAACATAGTTGGAAAAAACAGGTATGTTTCTCAAACATCTTATTTCTAGTCTTATATTTACGTGTGGAAATATTGTCTTCTTACAAATCTAGTGATAGTAACTGCTGTGTTTTCATTCATGGAAAGAGAAGCTAGAAAGAGGCAAAGGTAGAAAGGTGAGCCCCGCCCTTAGCTGATACTCAGTGCTGAAAGACAGCAGCTACTTGACTGGGCTGTTCTCCTAGCTAATAGTTTGGTTTCTGCTTTATAAAGTGTCACGGACTGACTTTTAAAAGTGACGTATTATACGTGTTTTGCTAGGATTCATTTCTTATTGTGGTGAAATATACATGAAATATACCACTTTAACCATTTTTAAGTATACAATTCAGTGGCATTAAGTACATTCACGGTGTTGTGCAGCCATCACCACCATCCATCTCCAGAACTTTTTCATCCTCCCAAACAGAAACTCTGTACTCATTAAACAACTACTCCCCATTCCACCCTCCCCCAGCCCCTGGTAACGACCATTCTACTTTGTGTCTATATGAATTTGACTACTTTAGATGCCTCATGTAAGTAGAACCTTACAATATTGATTCTTTTGTGCCTGGCTTATTTCATTTGGCATAATGTTTTCAAGATCTGTTCATGTTGTAGCATGCATCAGAATTTTCTTCCTTTTTAAAGGCTGAATAATATTCCATTGTACATATATCCCACATTTTGTTTATCCATTCATTTGTTCATAGACATTTAGGTTGTTCCCACCTTTTAGCTATTGTGAATTATGCTACTGTGAGTATTGGCATACAAGCACATGTTCGAGACCCTGATTTCAATTATCTTAGCTATATACCCAGAAGTGGAATTGCTCGATCATATGAATTCTATGTTTAGTTTTTTTAGGAACTGCCATAGTATTGTTCATAGTGGCTGCACCATTTTACATTACCAATAGCAGTGTACTAGGGTTCCAATTTTTCTACTCATTGCCAATACTTACTTTCCATTTTTTATTTTGTTTTTTGTAATGGCCATCCTAATGGGTGTGAAATTGTATCTCACTGGGGCTTTGATTTGCATTTCCCTAATGACTAGTGATATTGAGCATCTTTTCTTGTGCCTGTTGGCCATTTGGATGTCTTCTTTGGAGAAGTGTCGATTCAAGTCCTTTGTGGGATTAATGTTTATAACTGGAATCTACTCCTTGCCAAAGTTGTCATTAACTAATGGAATAATTTTAGGATATTTTGTATATTTAAATTATTTGATAATGCTATTATTAAAACTTCTATTTAAAATCTTTTTGGAAAAGTACCCTGAGCAGGAAGGAGGGGAAAAAAAAGACAGAGCTTCAAACCCAAAGGATAGAATGTAAAATTTATTTTAAGTGTTAAGTAACTATTTTCTGGATATGACATTGACAGTGAAATTATCCCTCTTTTATCAATAGATAGAAGATCAAATGACTAGGTTATGTTCTCCAAGTTGCCACTCTGTCTCTGTCAAATGGCAGCAGCTGAGTCCCGACGCGCCTGAGCCCCTGCAGGCCCCGGCCCAGGTGCAGTCCTTGTTCCACAACGACCGGCTGCTCGTCTACGGGTTCATCCCTCACTGTACACAGGTAAGGGGGCACACACTGTGTTTTACTGTGGGAAGAATGATATATTTTGCTAATAATTTTCTTTTTCTTTCTTTCTTTTTTCTTTCCTTTCCTTCTCCCCCAAATCATAATGTGCTGGCAAATTTTCTCCTTCTGGAAACATAATGGGTGGCTAGCCAGGGATACTGGAGAGCCTTTCATTCCATTGAAAGGAGAGAGGAAATCGCTGAAAGAATCACTGTTAAACTAACCAAGACACTGTGGAGTAGAAAAGCTAATCAGGAATTTGTTTCCCATTTCAGGCAACTCTATATGCATTAATTCAAGAGAAAGAATTTTCTACAATGGTATCAACTACTGAACTTCAGAAGACAACTGGAACTGTAAGATTCAAAACTCAAACTATGGACGCACTGTCTGAAAGTTGTAATAATTTTATATTTTCATACATAACGCTCCGTGTCCTTCCTCTGTTGTTGTTTTTCCATGTGACATTTCAGTGCATGATATGATATGGAGGAGTGTTATCTGTACAGATGAGAGCACTAACCTGCAATTTCTAATGCAGAGTTCTTAATCTGGGGTTCCTGAGTCTAGGTGTATCCGTATGGGCATCAATGGGTGTGAATAACTGTAATTAAATTTGGTATTTTATGCCTAAAAATTTTTTAGGTAGGTTCTGAAAGATGTCCATGAGTCAATGAAAGTTAAGTGCCGCTGGTCCACCCATGTTATTTTAATATATTAAGTACAAACACTCCTGGACTAAGAATGAAACATATCAAATATTGAGAATGTGTTTGTTTTTTCCACTTTTGGATTGAAAGCAAATGAATTATCACCAGAAAGCTTGTAGTATTTGCATTAGCACGAAATCTACTGTGGTTAGGCCTGGAACGTTCCTAAGCAGTCTCTCCTCTAATATGTAGCTTGCTGCTCACGGGAGTCTTTGTTTACCCAGATAAGCCAGTGCCCAGACATTTCTGAGTTTTTGCTCTTTTAAATAAAATAACTTACTTTTTTGGCACTGAATCAAGAACCATAATTGATTCCTTGCCAGTGATTTATGTCTAGAACTTAAGGGAATCTCCACATTGTTTTAAACATTGAATCTAGGGGTGAAATAAAGCTGACCTGGGAAGAGGTCGTTTTCCATGAAGTCGCTGTCTTTGCAGCTGTGCCTCCTCTCTGAACTGTGGCCTTTCCAGTAGCGGAATTAAGAGCTGGAATTAGCATCGAAAGCAGACGTTGCCATTTAAGATCAGTTCTGTTTCTTAATCATTTGAGAGAAAAAAAACAGGAAATCCTTCACCTGCACTTCCTAGCGGCCCCCCTCTGCCCTGCCTTCAGAGGGAGCTCACACTCATGGCTGGACGTCACCGCACTAAGCTGCTTCTTCCTACAGTGGAAGAATACTCTAAAGTTTTTGAAATAAATTGAATTGGCAAATGACCTTTCATAGAGAAGGCAGAACTGTAGGGATAAACCACAGATGAGTGGTTGCCAGGGGCGAGAGGGGACTTTTTAAGGTGAAGGAACTACTCTGTATCTTTTATCTCAGTGGTGGTCACAGCACTGTATACATTCGTTAAAACTCATCAAACTGTACACTTAAAAACAGTGAATTTTGGGGCCGGCCCCGTGGCCGAGTGGTTAAGTTCGCTCCGCTTTGGTGGCCCGGGGTTTCACCGGTTTGGATCCTGGGCGCGGACATGGCACCACTTGTCAGGCCACGCTGAGTTGGCGTCCCACATAGCACAACTAGAAGGACCTGCAACTAGAATATACAACTATGTGCTGGGGGGATTTGGGGAGAGAAAGCAGAAAAAAAAAAAAAAAAGAAGATTGGCAACTGTTGTTAGCTCAGGTGCCAATCTTTAAAAAAAAAAAGGGGGTGAATTTTATTGGTATGTAAATTGTACCTCAATTTTTAAAGTGGTTTCCTATGTAAGACTTTAATGAGAAGCCATTTGAATCTTTTTTCCTTTGCTGCTTAAACACAGATGATTCACAAGCTGACAGCACGAGCTCTGATCAGAGATTATGAAGATGGCATTCTCCACGAAAATGAAAGGAATCACGAGGTTTGCTCTTTTCATGATCCTTCTTAAATTGACTTATCCATGGAAATGTAAAGTCAGGCTAGCTGGATGAAGAAGCATGTGGTATCAGGGGCATTCATCATTGTAGCTGTCTTTTCTGTGCCTGGGGTGCAAAGTGTTCAGCAGATGCTTGTTGAATGAATTAACAAAAGAACAGATGTCAGTAGTTTCCTGAGAATTCTGTGATAATTGTACTCATCACAGAGAGGCCAGAGGAGGGCTCAGAGAACATTCACTGCGTGCCTGAAGTAAACATCACCTCAGATCTCGTGTGTTGTAGGTGTTAGTGTTCCCATTTTAGTGATGAAGAAGCCCGGGCGCAGGAGGGTGAGTGTCCTGCCTAAGGACACACAGTGGAGCTGAAGCCCAGCTTGCTCCCTCCTTGCTGAGCTGATCAGGGCCTGTCAGGGCTTCGACTCACCAGGGGGCCATGATGGCCTGGCTGGTCCCTCTGGGGCTGTGATCTTAATTGAGGTTAGGAGCATTGGTACTCAATGCCATCCCCCAAAAAGGTACCCTTGTGACATGTGGGGGCCATTGGTGCCGTTGCAGATGGTCCCAGCCGGTCACTAAGGCCTTGTGGTCCCCCTGCCTCCCTTGCCACCCTGTCTTGGCAGCCTTGTGTTTGTTTTGCTTAAGGCCCTTTTATTTCTGAGGGCAGTGGACCGGCCCTGCCACTGAACAGCCCTGACTTGTCACTCCTCCTCTCCACTACTTGGACTCCTCACCTCTAACGGGGGCACAGACCATCTGTCAGAGAAGGCAGAAGCTCGCCACACTGGAGAGGGAGAGTTCTTTGTAAACTATAAAGAGCTATACAAATATGAGTTATTTTCTCTATGACTTAGCTAGTCAGTTGATCCCATTTTGCAAGAAATGTTAAGTCACCTACTTAAGATGTTTAGACAAGGCCATTGATTCAATATTTAGGATGAAATACTAATTATAAGGTGATTTATTTTTTTATAGAAAAACACCTTTTTAGATTATTTAATATTTGTTTAATTGGTCATACATAGCTAAATAGTGAAAATAAAACAGGATATGACTTCATTTGTTTTATTCTATCCTAGATGAAGAAGCAAGTCTTAAAATCTCTGATTATTAAACTCAGTAAAGAAAATTGTCTCCTAACACAATTTACAAGCTTTGTGGCAGTTGAGAAAAGGGTATGTATTGTTGATTCATGGCTATTTTATTTGTATTTATGTATTAAGAAAATTTCTCTTGCTCTCACTGTCACTGACAGAATCCACATCCATGGCTTTTGAAGAGCAGGGAGGGAGAGGCAGGAGCATGGTCAGAAGGCCTCAGTGTTAGGGTTCACGATGATCACTCTACAAGAGTTACTATGTTATTATTACTAATTTTTTTAAAGATTGGCACCTAAGCTAACAACTATTGCCAACCTTTTTTTTTTTTCCCCGCTTTCTCTCTCCCAACCCCCCCAGTACATAGTTATATACCTTAGCTGTGGGTCCTTCCAGTTTTGGCACTGTGGGACGCTGCCTCAGCATGGCCTAACGAGTGGTGCCATGTCTGCACCCAGGATCCGAACTGGCAAAACCCCAGGCTGCCAAAGCACAGCGCGTAGACAACCACTCGGCCACGGGGCCGGCGCTATGTTGTTTTTAATGTTACAATTATTACTTGGTTATACGTGTGCTTTGGAGATATACTTCAATTTTGTTAGATTTTTGGCATTTCTCATCTTTTATTGATCCAAGACCCTCAAAAAATAGAAAAGGCCTGGGCTTCTGAAAGGCCCTTTCTCTTATAAGTTCAGGTGGAAAATCCACACAGGGCACTTCGCACGGTGCCCATACCCGGGAAGAGGCAAGCCACTTAGCTGAGCACGTCTCTCTTCTCTGCTTGTTTCTCTCTCACCTGTGGCCTGGGACACAATCCAGTCCGACACCCAAACATATTCCAAACCAAACATTCTCAAGATTTTAGCAAGTATATTAATCATTTAATTTGATAACGTATGTTTTGTTTTTAACCTAATTGTGATTCAATATAGGATGATAATGAAGCACCTTTTCCTAATATTCCAAATATCTTGGAACTTATTGCCAAAGAAGATGTAGATTTTCTCCCATACATGAGCTGGCAGGAGGAGCAACCAGATGCCAGCATAACACAGGTGAATGTCAATTACCAAATACATTGATATTGTGTTTTCATAGTTTTATGATGATGAGGGGAACCCTTTGCTAAAATAGCACACTTATTACTTGTATGTGAAGAAACTATTGTCTCCCTAATGATGGAAAATATTTGCACATTTATAAAAATGCTATTACATGACTGAGAAAGTCACCATATATAAATGAGGTCACCATATATAAAGTCTGGAAAGGGAACAACTGTGGTTATGCCTCATTCATAGACAGACAGACTGTCATACAGGAAGCTAAAGTCATTTCCTCTAAGTAATACAATAGGTTCGTTATGAAAGTAGTTATGATAGTCCTATATAATAATCTAAATTCAATGAATAAAGCACTATTTGTTATAGTGCCTTATACTGTGGCCTTTATAGCCAGAAACATCATAAAAATTGAAAAATGTGACTTAAATAAGAATTGGAAGGCACATTCAAAAGGAAAGGAAGAAAATAGTGCCAAGAAGACCCCTAGGCATCCAGGTGGGAGAAGTAAAACTGCCAAAATTTAGGAAGTTAGCATCTAACGGGAAAACATTTGTGAGAGGAATTTTGGGAAAATACAATATATGCAACATTCATTTTCTTTGATCCATTTTAAAATTATTATGTTAGTTAAGAATATAAAAACACATTAGATATCATTTGCTTTGCTCATAAAATCATGTTTAGGAATTTTTTTTTCTGAGGAAGATGGTCCCTGAGCTAACATCTGTGCCAGTCTTCCTCTATTTTGTATGTGAGATGCCCCCACAGCATGGCTTGATGAGCAGTGCACAGGTCCACACCCAGGATCTGAACCTGCGAACCCAGGGCCGCTGAAGGAGAGCGTGCGAACTTAACCACTATGCCCCCAGCTGGCCCCTCACTGCAGTTTTAACTGCATTTCTCTTAGCAACAATGAAGTTGAGCCTTTCTTCCTATGTTTAAGAGCCATATTATTTCCTTATTTATGATCAAACCCTTTGCCTGTTTTTTGCTTGGATTACTGGTCTTTTTCGTAACTCACGGGAGTTCTTTGTATATTAAGAAAATTGATCTGTCTCTGTTGCAAATATTTTTTACCAGTTCATCATTGTTTTTGGATTTTACTTATCATGTGCATAAATCTCTTTTAATTTTTGGAAACACCACTCAGAGACCTCTTTCATGTTAGCTTTTCAAATATAGCCTTGGTTTCTTTCTGCCTTGGCACATTCCAGAAAAGGGTATGAGCCGGCAGGTTGTGCTGCAGTCACTCCTCCAGCCCTGCCACCGCCCATCTGTTCTGTGGCAGCTGCAACTTCCCTTCTATCCAACAGGAGCTACGTGACTTAGGAAGTGAACCCAGAAAGGGAGTCGAAACATGATTTTCTGAAATTATCCCCCTCCCCTTTCTTTAAAGACAACTATAAGATAAGACAAAACAAAAGGTAGTGTATGTGTTGACAGCGTCAGCACAAGGCCACAGTTGTCATTCTGGGATTTCGAGATCCCACTTCAGGGAATGTGGCTTTGAGGTTGTTAAGGGAAAGTAAAGGGACTGAGCTGGGGGGCAGTGACCCTGTCCTCCCTCTGTTACTCCCACAAAGGGCCATTTGAGTGCCATGTTTTGAAAAAAACATCTGATGTACAACTAATAATCAACTGTTGTCCTTGAAACAAGACAGCCTTATTGTCAAAAGGGGTCCTTGAAAATATATATTTTAAATATGTGTCAAACACACAGAAAAGATCTTGTGAGATATATGCCAAACAAAGATTGGATATGAGATTCTGTGTGATTTTTATTTTCGTCTTTGTGTCTACCTGTATTTTCTAATTTTCTCATCATGTGTGTATACTGTTTATAAAAATTTTTAATTTATTTTCAAAATTGGTTCTAAGTTCATTTGGGTTTTACTGTAGTGTAATAATGAATTATTTCATACTAATTTTGCCAATATTTTGGACCTTCGTACTTCTAGATCCAAACCTATAGGATGAAAAATTACAACTTACAAATTAAACTGATGACTTGATAGTTTATCTTTATTTCAGCTGTAGTAATTCTTCTGAATGAACCATCTAATTTAGCAAAAATATTAAAGCCTCTGTTACTCTCCCTCAGGACTTATTTTACTTACCCAAATGTGACAAATAAAGAATTCTATTTAGAATTATTTCAGTTCAGGTCAGTAACCGGCAGCATGAGAGCCCCGTAAGGGCACTGGCGATCTGAGATCTGTCTTGGCTCTGCCCACCTTGCCTAAGTTTAAAGGGGTCTCAGTTTTCTTGTTTATTAATGAGACCATCCTTGGCGTTCAGTGTCTTTTCTGTTCTAGTGCACACATGAGGGGTGATGTTCACTGCTCAGCGCCCTGTTACGGGCACTCCTAGGTTTAGGAACAATTCCTCATACACACCCTAATCCACTCCTTCCCTGCCTGCTCAGGAAAGCATACGGGGAATAAGTAAGAGGCAGATATTTTATAGAAGTAACTTCTGATCTCATTTTTAAAGTAAATTATTTAAAAATTGAATACTTTAACTGTTATTGGCAACAAATTGAGTGTCTGACTGCGATTAGAACCTTCGAGCACTCTATTTCAGCATTTCTTTCTCTTGAGAGCCTGCGTAGTTCCTTAGTAGATGATGATGGTTAAACATAATTAAAGGTTGTGAACTTGAAGGGAAGGAGGAATAAAAATGAGTAATTTTGGTAAGTAGAAGAATCATGCTAGGAAGTATAAGCTTATTTCTGTTCATTTAGTAAAATTTTTTCTTACATAGTCACATGGTTCAAAATCTAAACAGTACAAAAGGAGAGACAGTGAATCCCTCCCAACCGACACCTTCAGCCAGTCCTCCTCCCCAGAGGCATCCATTATTACGGATTCCTTGTGATCTCTTTCCAGAAATAGCATATGTATATATGAGCTAAATATGAATTTCCCCATCTGCTTACATGTATATACTATATACAGTGTATATACTCTACACACTATGCTATACATTGTCTTTAATGTATATCTTGGAGATATTTTAAAGAATAGCTTCTTTTTTTATAGCTAAAAAGTATTATATCATATGGATGTACTAGAATGTATTTATCCAAGTCCTTTATTGATGGACTTTTAGTTTATTTCCTGTCTATAACAAACAGTGCTACAGTGAATAACTTTACACGTTATTTCCTATGTGCTGTAGTATATTTGTAGGATATATTTCTAAAAACAGACTTAAAAGGCCACAGGATATGTGCATTTTAAATTTGAAATAGCTAGGGAAACTCTGCTACTGATAGAGTAACATTAGGAATTGGATTTATTCTCCCACCTTAAACAACTAAAAAATATATGGCAAAAAATATTTTATTGGACAAAATATATGAAACAATGGTTTTCAGACATCAGACAATAGAGCAGAATAGCAATCCCTCAGAGAAGGAAACAAACGAGGTGAGTTCTAGGATTGCTCTAGCTTATTACCAGGGAAGAGTTTCCAGACAGGGGCTGGCCCCGTGGCCGAGTGGTTGGGTTCGCGCGCTCCGCTGCAGGCGGCCCAGTGTTTCGTTGGTTCGAATCCTGGGCGCGGACATGGCACTGCTCATCGGACCACGCTGGGGCAGCGTCCCACATGCCACAACTAGAAGAACCCACAACGAAGAATACACAACTATGTACCGGGGGGCTTTGGGGATAAAAAGGAAAAAATAAAATCTTTTAAAAAAAAAAAAAGAGTTTCCAGACAGCAGCCCTGGGACAGTGGACTCAAACAGAGCATGGTAGTCTCTCTGAGTTAGGGAGATGAAGTTGGGATCAGGGAGGTCAAGATGGCTAAAATTAGAAGGACAAAGTACTGGAGAGGAGAGAACTGCCCAGAAGGAGATCTTCAGAGATCTGCAGAGGGTTCCTTTCTAGTCTTTGGCTGAGTACTGATCAGTGTGTGGGTGTGAGGAAACAACCCAAGGCCAGAGAAAGGACCACCAGAAAGAAGCAGGTGGAACAACCCCTGGAGCTGACGCAGGGTCAGGAATAGTTTGCATTCCCGCAGTTTGAATGGCAAGATCTCCCAACAGAGGGGACACTGGTAGAGTAGCCACGAGGATATTGCTCCAGACTAAGTGCTACACAAAGGATCTAGACTGAAAGCTGTTCTCATCCCACCTAACAGAGCTCAAAAGCAAGACTCAGAAGGATCAAACTATTTCCAAATAACTGAACTATGTCCCAGAACAAAGCTCAAAAGTATGTAAAGGAATTTTTTTTAATTTCAGCACCCCAACAATGTAAATTGACATGTCTAGCATCCACTTAAAAATTACCAGGCAGGCAAAGAAATGGAAATATGACCCATAATGAGGAGAAAAACCAATCAATAAAAACAGACCCAGAAATTAAGATATAATAGAGGAGTAGACAAGGATATTAAAACAGCTATTATAAATGTACTCCATATGTTCAAGTAGGCAGAGGGTGGGTTGCACATGTTAACTAGAGATATGGAAGATACAAAAAAGGACCAAAATTGAACTTCTAAAGATGAAAAACACAGTGTCTGAGATAATAAATACATTGGATGTGATTCACAGCAGATTAGACACTACAGAAGAAACAGTGAGCCTATAAATATAGCAATTAGAAACTATCCTAAGTGAAATTAGAGGGGAATAATATGAACGAAAATAATCAGTGAACTATGGGACAGCATTATGCAGCCTGTTGTACAAGAAATTAGAGGGGGCCAACCCCATTACCTAGTGGTTAAGTTCGGCATGCGCTGTTTCAGCAGCCTGGGTTCAGTTCCTGGGTGCTGACCTACATCACTCATCAGCAGCCGTGCTGTGGCAGCGACCCACATACAAATAGAGGAAGATTGGCACAGATGTTGTGCAGTGACAATCTTCCTCAAGCAAACAGAGGAAGACTGGGGGCTGGCCCAGTGGCGTAGCAGTTAAGTTCACATGTTCTGCTTCAGCAGCCCAGGGTTTATTGGTTCAGATCCCAGGTGTGGACCTA